ACTGTATTTTTTTAAATAAATGAATATGTAAAGAATTGTTTCTGTTTTGTTTTGGGCGGCTGGCTGGGTGGGTGCGATGTGCCAGCAGAGTCAAGTTAGGCATTTTCTGAATCCTTACACACCAAGCCCAAAAGGTTCGCCATCACTGCTCTAACAGAAGACAGAACATGACAATTGCATTCACCTCTTGGTATATGTCTTGCTTACAGGCAGAATAACTTATGGGTTTCTACTTACATGCTTGATATCTGTTGGGTCTTGTTTGTGATCAGTACCCAAGCCCATTGCTTTAAGGCTGGTTCTTAAGGGAGTTTGAGAGAGGGCCATCCTGGGTGAAATTAAAAAAACAAAACATGGAATTATAGATCAAGATAAGTAGTGAGACAGGAAGAGATAAAGCAAAACATAAAAGCTTTCATGTTTCAGATTTCTGAAATGGTGTCAACTGACTATGCAAAGCAAAAAAACCCCCAAAACTTGGGAAACTCAGAATGGGAAATCATCTCTAGAGGCTGAAGGAAAAAGGATCTTGAAATGCAGTTTGGAGAACAATCTGTGTGGTCTGTCCCCGGTACTCTTGCTCTAGATACGTACTCCAAATGCTGCAGTTGCTAAGAATGGCATCTCCTAAGTAGAGAAGTATTGATGGTTTCCCCTTTCTTGGTAACCTACTTTTAAGACATGGTGTAAAAGGAGGTGGCAGTTTCTAGATGATCTTCTCTGGGACCAGAACCTGAGCAGGACTGGACCTGGGTTGTACTTGGATGGGAGATCACGAGGAGTCCCAGGAGTGTCACCAGGGTGGGAAATTGAAACATTTTCCAGAAGAAGACAATGACAAACCACGTCCAGCCCATTGCCGAAAGAACAGCTAGGCCCACGGCTTGTTTTCAAGTGGGGAATTTCTACTTCCATGGATTATAAAATGGAGGCGGAGGGGACTGAGGATTTCAGTAATGTTTCAGGACTGGGAATATCCCTACTTTATTTATTTAGGGCAACTATTTTTGCTTCTCATAAGAAAAAAAAACTTAAATCATAAACTTTATACACATCCTAAACAGGGGAGCATAAATGTATGTATTAATAAGGGAGTCAAAGAAAGGAAATACCACATTTTATATTAGTAAGATGTTGACCATATATTTTATAAGTATATTTTATAAATCACAGTAACAGATGACTACCGAAATTCAAGACTATTTCTATTCCTTTCCCTTCCTACTATCTGCTTCAGGCTATGAAAAACATTGCTGTGTATATGAATGGATCAAATTTACTCCACAAAAATCAAGAAACTATATCATTTTCTATGACTTAGTTTCATTTTGTCTTTTTTATTTCTGTCTAACAACATATTAATGCAGTCATTGTAGCCAAACCTACATCTTATGTAATTATTATTTTTGTCTGTAATTTCTTTTTTGGTGTTTTCTAGCTGCAGTTATCATATGAAAAGCTAACTCCTCCTGTTGCTTCAGCTATGCAATTAAGGATGAAATCCAGAAGGTCATGTGAAATTTCATAACCCACTTTTTTCATTTGTCTTGCTCATTAGTTTCCAGGATCTTTTTCATCAAAGGTAATTCCCACAAAATTGTTTTTGACATTTCCAACAGTCACTGAATAATTTTTATTCGTTCTATTTATTATAACTTCATTTATATACCAGCTAGTCACAGTTTCAAAAAAGTCTTCTCTAGCTCATGCCTTTCAAGAAAATTAATGTCCCAGGGCTACCACCACAAGAGCCCTTGGCTTGATTCTGGCGCAGGTGGGTTAGCCTGGTAGACGGGGTCCACGCAGCACAAGGGAGAAGGGCACCAGCAACTCTGCCTTTATTATCCGTTTTTCTCCCCAAAGCTACATGGCTGTTGACTGCTCTCCTGCATCCTTTCCACCGCCTTGCCAAGGAAGAAGAGTCCTGAGGGGTCGCAGCCAGGTAGTGGCACTGTTGTCATGACCCAGCATCCGACTCTTGAAGGAGGAATGGTAGTTATGCCTGCGGGGATAGTTGCTCATTCCGAGACTGGCCGGTGAAGCCCAATGTCTTTAGGCTGCTTCAGGCTCCCTGCAGGTCTAGGACTAGGACAGGCAGAGGAGGGGCCATCCGTGGCCCGCTCTCGAACTGACTCCCTGCATTCTGATTCCCAGGAACCGGAGAGGGGCAACAACAAGAAGCCCATCTTCCCTCCCAAATCAGACTGCTGGAACTGAGACAGCTAGCACATGTGGCAGTAGCTGGAAGAGGAGTTCATCTGTGGACAAACAGGCTGGCAGGCAGCATCTGCTCCTGGTGCTGGAAACCTCCTCACCTCTCTGCTCAGCCTTCCTGAGCTGTGGTTTTGAGCCAGGCATAATAAACTTCACCCAGCCACATCAAATTGCTGGTTTATAAAACTGTAGAAAAACAGATTGAAAGGGACCCCAGAGAATGCCTACTCCAACATCTGCTAAAGCATTTTGAGTAGGTGGCTATCCATCCTCTGAAAGTTTCCAGCATTTTATGAGGCAGCCTATTCCACCATTTGGCAGCTGTTACCATTAGGAAACTCCTCTTGATGTCTAGCCTGAACCTCCTTCTTCATAATTCTAACCTGTTCCTGTCCTCCAAGGCAACAGAGAACAAGTCCACTCCCCACTGTATTTGATAACCCTGTAGATATCTGAAGACTGCCCTCATATCTTCCCCAGCCTTCTCTTCTTCAGCCATACCCAGTTCCTTTAATTGTTCCTCATAGGACTTGGTTTCCAGCTCCCTCATCATCTTGCTAGCCACCCTCTGAACTGGGTCCAGTTTGGGCCCTTTTTAGACTGCAGTGCACAGAACTGGCCACATTGTTCTGAGGGAGGGGGAATCTAACAATGCTGTCCCATCATCTGAACTTTATGCTTCAATTCGTGTACCATAACAGACCATTTGTTTTTTCAGCAGCTGCATCACACTGTTGAATCATGTTCAACTTCAACACCCAGATCCTTTTCGCATGTTCTACTGCCAAGCCAGGTCTCCCCATCCTATGATTTGCTCCCCTTTTTTCTTCCCATATGCTGAAGTTTGTATTTCTCCCTAAGAACATCAGACCTTTTAATTTTTTTTTTACCTCTCTTCTAAACTGTTAGCCACTCCTCCCAGTTTTGTATCATCTGCAAATTTGATAATCATCCCCTCAATCACTTCATTCAGGTCATTAGTAAAAATGCTGAGTCCTGTGGCATTTCACTCAATAGTACTCACCAAGGTGATGTGGAGCTATTGATAACTACACTCTGGGTGTGCTCATTCCACCAGATATGTATCCATCTAACAATTGTATCATCTATTTTACCACTCAATGCCATGCAAGTCTTTCTGAAGGTACATTATATCCACTGCACTCCCCTGATCTATTAAGCCAGGAACTCAGTCTTAAGCTGAACAGGCCTTGTTTGTGACAAACCTTTTCTGGTCCTTATTAATGGCTGCATTCCTATCCAAATGTCCACAAATACATTGCTTGATAATCTGCTTGAGGACTTTATCTAGTACAGATGTTGACCTGAGAGGTCTCTAATTTCCCAAGCCCTTCTCCTTCCCTTTCTGAAGATAGGGACAAGAGGTCTTCTCCAGGAGTTCTCAGAGATGACAGCTAGCAGTTTTGCAATCAATTCCATGAGTTACTTCAGTAATTAATGTGGCTCTGGAGGCTTGAATTCGCTTAAATTAGCTCAGCATTTTTTGTCTCTCTGAGCTGCAGCTCCTTCCTTGCGCTAATGGCGCAACAACGTCCAAGTCAGGCTTCCTTTCTCTTCTAAGAGAAGAGAATGTAAAATATGAATTAAGATATTTCGCACCTTCCATTATTGATTCACCTCTTTCCCCTCACAACAGACCCACAACCTCTTTGCCTTTCCCTCAAGATGATAAGAGGCATGAAAAAGCTGGGAGGGCTCAGCCATGGCCCGTGGACTTCCAGAAGGCAGATTTTAATGAACCCAGACAAAAGATGGGCAGAAGAACTAAGCTCAAGAGGAATGGGAGACTGAAAATAAAGGTGCAAACTCTCTCCAAGAGGAGGAAAAGCTGGAAGAAGCCTGTGTGGAGAAAGAGCTTCCTGAGATGCTGAGAAACAAGCAGGAGACAGACAAGAAAGCCTGGCTAATAATGAAGGAGGAGGACAGAGTGGCAGTTTGGGCTTGCTGAATGGAGTCAGGAAGGTTAAAGCTCAGAATGAGATGAGGCTGGCAGGAAGCAAAAATATAATTAAGAAGGGTTTGGGGGTATGTCTGAAATTAAAGAGTCAAGGCTGTTGGTCTGTAGTAAGGGGAAGAGGCTGAAGTAATAAAGGGACATGGGGAGCATGTGATGCTGCTTAACATCTTTTGTGCATCTGCCTTCTTCCATAAGAGGAAACAAACTTTTCCTCATTGAGGAAACGTGGGTAGGAGGGACACATCTCAGGGCCAAGAAAGTTATAATACTTTGCTACTTTCAAGGAATTCAAGCCCAGACAAATTAAATCCCAGGGCTCTGAAGAGGCTGGCAGTAGTGATCTTAGAAGTGCAGACCAGAACTCCTGGAAAACTCCTGGAAAACTAGTGAGGGGCCCGAAGAGCAAAGTCCCTGTTTGCAAAAAGAGGAAGGCCTAGAGAATTAGAGACTAATAAGATTCACATCCATGGTGGGCAAGGTATTGGAAGAGGTTTACTTATTTGTATAGCCACCCATCTATGAAAAGGAACTCTGGGCAGTGAATAAAATAAAAACCCAATACAATAAAACAATTATTTTAAACAATTAAATTGAGGTGCTGATGAAAACCCACATCCATTCACCAGGTAGCCCTATGAGCATTCTGGCCCCAGTGCCTGGGGGAAAAGCCAGGTCTTCACTGCTTTCTTGAAGGCCAAAAGAGTCAAGACCATCCATATCTCTGGAGGGAGGTGGTTCTATAAGGCAAGCGCTGTGCCAGAGAAGACATGCTTCCAAGGCCCCATCAGGTGACATTGCTTCACCAAGAGGATCTGGAGCTTGTGCATCCTGCCAGATCTAGTAGGATAGGCAGAAAACATTGGGCATAATTTGTTCTGCAAGTAACCTGGCCCTATGACGTGCAGAATTTTAAGGGTAACAACCAGCACCTTGAATTGTACGTGGAAGCCTACTGGAAGCCAGAGCAGCTAATGCAGCACTGGTATTACACGGGCATACCAAGGTGTGCCCACTACTGCCATTCTGGACCAGCTGCTGCTTCCAAATGCTCTTCAAGGGCAGCCCCATGTAGACTGCATTGCAGTAGTCCAATCATGAGGTGATCAGAGCAGGGTCTTCCAGTCGATGAAAGGGCACAACTGGCACACAAGAGGAACCTGTACAAAGGCCTTGAACTGTTAATAAGCTTTACATCTAGATTGTGGAACGTAATCACTATATTATACTGACCATGAGTTATTACATTGAAATCCCGTATCCAGTTCTAGCCCAGCACTTTCCAAAGGACATTGAGAAGCTGAAGCCAATTCAGCGGACAGCTACCAAGAGCTACCAAGGAATCTGGAAACTAGACTTCTTTAACCAGGAACTGGGCCTATTTAGTGTGTAAAAGAGAAGATTGAGGAAAATTATGATGAACACTTTCTACCATCACATACAGACCTGGGCAGACCTGTCTGCTGTTGAGGTGGAGGACAAGACAAGGACCAATGGCTGAAATTAAAAGAGAGGAGATTCAGGGTGACTGTTATGAAGACTTTTCTGATTCTAAGAACTATGAAGCAGGGGAACAATCTCTTTAGGACAGAGATAGATTCCCCAAGTTGGAAATATTCAAACAAGGTGAATATTTTGAGCAAGAGTTGACTAGATTAGCTAAGAGTCCTTCCAACCCCTCCATTCTATCACCGGACCTAGTGAAGATGTTCTTAAGCAAAGGCATAAATTCTCCCAGGACAGAAGTATTTAATGCAAAAGGTTTTATGAAGAGGAATCTTACTTTTACAAAATACAAATTCCATCTGACTCTGTGCCTGGAATACATTTTCAACCAGTCATGTGCATTTTCCCATATGGTGGGGGCTTCATTGTAACTTGAACCATATAAAGTTTAAGCAATGTGCTTTTGTCTAATGGACAGTCTCAGGAGGATAGGTGTATCTTCGCCTTCAAGAGGAGCAAGCCATGCAGAGACATCTGATGAAAAGAAATACAGGTAGCAGTGCAGTCACGTGATGTTTCACCTAATGACCACTTCCCTTAGCGAAGGAAATTCTGATTCTAGTTAGGGTCATTAAGTGAGGACTACCTGTACAAGGAATGGTGCCTCGTGTCAGTCTACTTCAGTCTCAGGCTTCCTCAGGATGCCTGGGGGCACTGATGAAGCCTGGTGTAATGGCATGTGGAAAAGACCTTGGGAGACTGGGCCAAGAGACGCTGCCAAGGGAATGGTAGATAAGAGGCAGCACAATCCACAACTGGATAGTGGGTGGAGAAAGAGGCTCAGAAGGGACCATCTCTAATTTCTTGGGCTTTAAAGGAGATCGGGGGGAGGCGGAATTGTACTTTCATACTTGCAAGATTCTGTCAATGTAGCTTTACAATGTAGAACTAGCTTATTTGGTTGTGTTTCTGTCTGGTCTACTTGGGAAAGCTGACACCTGGTCATTCCAGGAAATTCCTTGCACATCTTGCTGGCAGCTCCTCCTTAAGAGCATGAGGCATGCAGGATAGGATCAGCCTTCCTTGACTTGATACTAATCAAGGAGACAGGGCACTATGAAATGGCCATGTTACAAGGCTTTCCCCCTTGCTGGAACTCTCTAGCCTTGGGGGCTGGTTAGCCCCTTCCTCATGACTTTTCACAAAGCAGCTGGAATGGCCCTGTGTTCTACTGACCTTTTAACCCAATTGGTTGCTGCAAGTGTGTCTTGGGGAGGAATTTATTTTTTTTAATAATAAAAACTTTATTATATTATATAAAAAGTACAATTAAAATACAAAACAGAGAGTAAAGCAAAGAAAGAGAATAGAACTAAAAGAAAAAAGACAAAAACGAAAATAGTGAAAGTAGATAGAAGAATGAAACAGAAAGTGACTTTTGACTCTCTCTGATACAGATATAGATGCAAATTTCTTGGGGAGGAGTTTAGAGTTCATATATTATTTTGCGCTTATATTTTTACTCTGTTGTAGCCCATCCAAGGTCTTGTGACTGGTAGGCTCTAAAAACAGTGAGTAAATAAACAAATAAATAGGATAAAGCTTATAGCACTGGGAAATTTGTAATGAACTGATTAGTGACAGAACGAGCAAGACAGAGCAGGTGCAATCCAGCTCTCTTTTCCTGGTTTAAATAAACTTTCTATGCAGCAGAGTGGAAAAGAACACCCCCCTTGTGCTTAAAAAACAAGCCTACTGCTCTTCAGAAGAGCAGAAGATAGGGGTGGATAAGGGGCTTGCATAAAGGTGAGCACTATTTTAGAACATGCCAGTCAGGCATTAATTGGACAGAAGTCTCTTTGGAAGTTAGAGATCCAGTCCCTCCTGTAGCCCAAACCCAAATGGCCATGGAAGGAAGGTGCTTGGCCACGGCAGCCTACACAGGTCACTGGGATCAGGGCAGATCCCAACCCTGCCCCCCTTACCAACCACATGGTTGAGGAAGTCTGCTAGCTATGTCCAGGGCAAAAACTCTATTTGGGAAAAGAAGGAACATCCTAATTTAAAGACAACTTTAAAAGCTCTCCCAGCCACGAAGGCAATGTCAGGAGGACATATCATATACAAACTTGTCGCAGTTAGGGGACATAAGCACGAGCCATTAGTGCACTATTCAAAGTTATGATGACGCTGAATGAGGAGACTTACAACCAGTCCTCAAAGTTGTGGCTGTCACAGCATCCCCGTGGTTGTGTGATCACCATTTGCGACTTTGCTGCCAGCTTCCGACAAGCAAAGTCAATGGGGAAGCTGTCAGGAATTCACAAGTTGCAGTCAGGTGACATCACGCTTAATGACTGCATGTGATTTGCTTAACAACTGCAACTGGAACTGCTGGAACTGCCATTGTAAGTCGGTGTGGTCACATGATTTTTCGCTTTACAACCACATTGCTTAGTGATGGAGTTCCCAGTCCCAGTTATGGTTGTTAACCAAGGACTACCTGTACTTCAACTTTAGTAAGGCATTTGCTAAAGTAGATCATAGCCTCCTTCTTCTAAACTGGTGCATTGTGGGATGGATGGTCCCACTACCAGATAGTTTTGCAGTTGGCTGAACAACTGTAGCCAACCTATGATCCTTAATAAATAAGAGCATTTGATAATTCCTTCCTGGAAACACAACCTACTCCGACCTTGACTTATTGCAGGGGCTGGTCCATGCTAAATGGGCTCAGTGACACAACGAGCAAATATCTCAGCTGCTTTTTTCTGAAGCAGCACTGCAATTTCATTCCAGTCCAGAGATCCAGGGACTCCCTTCTGCAGACATTTGGCAAACTTAATCAGCTACTCCAGCCACTGCTCTCCGCTCAGATACTGAGGGAGAGAGAAAAACAGGGGTCAGGCTTGTCCCTCTCAGCCCTGGTTTTATGTGGAATGTTTCTAGGCCAAGAGTAAACTGATTAGAAAATTCAGAGATGTAAAGAGAGCCCAGCTGAGCACTCCATCCGGGGCTTTATGTTGCTGAAAAAACAATACAAATGTTTATTACAAAGCAAGAAAAGAGAATTCATTGGGGCTTTCTGGCAGCAATTGATAGCAGCATCTGAAGCCAGAAATCCCATTTTATTCTGGTACCCAACTGGCTGTCCCCTTGCACCTCCTCACCTTTTACTGGCATCTGTGTGGGAGGATCACTTTAGAACATTATACGGACAAGAACGTCCTTTTTAATTTCACTGACATCTCAATGTTAACCTGCTTCCCAACTGAATCCCAGTCTCAAGTGCCAGAATAAAAACTCCTACAAAGCAGGTAAAGCCTGGTAAAACTCCAAGCAATCATTTTATCCCTGCTGAAATCTTACATAATCATTTGGAACGGTGGACCCTAGTACTTGCTCCCCTGTTTACTTGCATCAGTTGCAGCATGCAAATCCCAGAGGACTGGGGTCTAGCTATCATAGTGCCCGTTTATAAAAAGGGCCCTTGAGACATTCCTGCTAATTACAAGTAGTCCTCATTTAATGTCCACTCATTCAGCGACAATTTGGAGTTATGATGGCGCTGAACAAGGGTACTTATGACCGGTCCTTATAATTGCAGCCGCTGCAGCATCCCTGTGGTGATGTGATTGTGATTGGGGCACTTGGCAAGCAGCTTGCAATTATGATATTGCAGCATCCCGCTGTCACGTGATTGCCATTTGAGACCTTCCCTGTCGGCTTCCGGCAAGCAAAGTCAATGGGGAAGCTGGCAGGGAAGGTTGCAGATGGTGATCATGTGACCATGAGATGCTGTGACCATGCAGGATTTGCCTAACGATGGCAAGTGGGACTGCTGGAACTGCTGTCATAAGTTGATGCAGTCACATGATGTGGCGCCTTATGACTGTGTTGCTTAGCGACAGAGTTCCCAGTCCCAGTTACCATCAATAAGCAAGGACTACCTGTATAGGCCCACTAGCCTTTTAAGTATAATAAGTAAGCTCTATGGCAGACATTTCTACAGCATATTAGTTGACTGGATCTGTCAGAACCTGCATCACCCAACTGTTGTTGTTTTCCACTGTATTGCATTCGTTGGGAGTTGGATTGATTTGTTTCTGCCACTTGTACCTTGGGAGGGGTGGCTGTTAATGGTTGTAATGGGAGTTGGGAAGCAGCTTAACCATATATGGGCAACTTAGACT